TTATTTTATTTTTATTATTTATTTTTATTATTTTTGTTTATTATTTATTATTTTTGTTTATTATTTATTATTTTTGTTTATTATTTATTATTTTTGTTTATTATTTACTTATTACTCATTATTCATTATTTATTATTTTTGTTTATTATTTTTGTTTACTTGTTTATTATTATTTATTTATTATGATTACTTGTTATTTATTGTTAGTTATTTGTTGTTTTTTGTTTATTATTTATTTATTGTTTATTTATTTACTTATTTGTTTATTGTTTATTTATTTATTTATTTATTGTTTATTATTTATGATCTATTCTATTATTTATTTGTTATTTATTTATTTATTTATTTTGTTTGTTTGTTTGTTTATTATTTAGAAGTACTCCTTGCCCTATCACTTCACAGTACTCAGGTTGGCTTCCAACAATAAACCACAATTAAAATAACCTTAGAAACTTAAAACAATATTTCTAAAATTAAATAAGAGTAATAGCATAGCCCAGTTTTTGGGAAGAACTTGTTAGGCAGGCAAAAATATCACATCCAGTCTGAACATCTGTCTGACTGTGTGACAAACCATAACAAATATAGCAGGGCCACAACAATTCCAGGGATTGCTAGAGTAAACAGGTAAGTCTTTAGCAGTTGTTTTAAAATCTAAAGTTGAAAAGAAAAATGGAAGTTACAGTGTTGCCATTTCTTTTCAATATACCAGTTGCTTTATTCCTGCTTTTTAGCAGTTTTACATAGATATTAAATGGGTGGTATACAATATATACACTATTAAATAGATAACCCATCTTAACTAGGTAATATTACAGCTGAGACTATGATGACAATTCTTCGAGATAAAGAGAGTGGCCTTAACATGGAAGGTGCCTTCATGACCACAGGAAGCATGGTTTCTATACTTCCCCAAGATCCTAGTCTCCCTTGCATTCATTTCTTCACTGGAACGCCAGATCCTGAAAGGTAACACAAATAAAATGTGTGTCATAAGAATAAACTCTTAACCATTTCCTTATTTTTGCCATTTTAAATAAAAGGCTTGAAATGTTTCCGGAATTATTAAATATAACCCAGTGTAAGTAAGTAAAGATCAATAGAAGTGTCAGGGTTCCGACGGATGGCCTAATTAAATCATGAGCCTTGAGCTAAACTTCAAAAAAAAATCCAGTTATTTATTAGGAGCAACATGTCGGCACGTACCCAAATGAAGGCAACTCTGACTCCACGTAATTTACTGCCCAATTATGACTCTGTTCCCCCACTCCCCCCTGGGTGTGCCATAAATCACATTCTCCAACGGAGCACTGTCATGGGCTGTAGAAATCACACCCCTCTGGCTGTTACAGGTAACCTGGGATACAACCTTGAGAAAGGTAGGCATGGAATGTGCTTCTGGTTGTGGCGGCCATGCTGTTCCGTCAGTTTCCTCTCCCTCTTGCCTATTGCAACTGGATAGCAGGCCAGGGATACTTTGCGAGGTGACAAGAAGCTTTATAAAAGTACAAGACTAAAGAATCTGATAAAATTTCTGATTCATCTTAACCCAATTCTGCAACAGGAAAGGTATTCAATGCTTCAGTGTCTATGGAGATGCTCAGTCATCCAGTTCATTGTTGTCCCAAAGGTGCTTTTTCTGGTTTTTCTTTGTAAACGTTTCGCTTCTCATCCAACAAGCTGCTTTTTCTCTTGAGCTGAAGAAGCTTCTTGGGTGAGAAGCGAAACATCTTCAAATAATAACAAGAAAGTCCAGTTGAAAAAGCATCTTTGGGATAATGCTTCAGTGGTTTTTGGGTGGAAACATTAATTGTTCTTCTTTTAAAGTACACTAGGAATCTGATCTGCTGGGAAGCCAATCTTCTTGGTTCCAGAAACTTTTCTTTCTGATTAGATTGTGACTGATATGAGAACTAATATGAAAAAGCTAGGCTCGTCTGGAATTTATGCTGAGTGAACGTAACACTGGACTGTGAAAGTAGCAACTAGTTTTGCCTATTTGCTTACTTTCATTTTATTTTCTAGGTCTGTTTTTAAACCTTTCATTTTTGTGGAAAATATTAACCCGCTTCTAAAAACCAGTTCTCCGATATTTGGCCCTGAGGATCCAGTTAAAAAGCAGCCACGGTTTCATACGAAACCTGACAGAAGACATGAGCTCTATCGAATGCATGAACAGGCAGTTGCCACGATGGAATCATCAAAGGTGGGTTGATCTTGGAATTGCAAAATGTGATATATTTTTTTAAATTCAAAGTAAGAACGTCTAGAATCTTTTGTGTTTGTACAAGCTGATATGCCTTGAAAAAAATTGTTCTGGCATATCAATTTTCAGTCAATTTTCAGAGTTAACGTGAAATAACGATACTTTTAACACCCATGCATTAAATACAATGTGAGGGTTCAAACCAGTGATGGGATTCAAATTTTTTTACTACTGGTTCTGTTGGCGTGGCTTTGTGGGTGTCGCAGGGAAAGGTTACTGCAAAATCCCCATTCCCTCTCCGCCACACTAACCTGCTTTCCAGCTCTGTTCTCCTGTTCAGGGCAGCAAAAGAAGATCAGCTGGGAGGCAGTGGAGGCGGGGGTGGCCTATTTTCCAGTTCTCTGAACTACTCAAAATTTCCATTACCGGTTCTCCAGAACCTGTCAGAACTGCCTGAATGCCACCTCTGGTTCAAACCATTGTATATTCAGAATTCTTGTTGAACTCTTCATAACAAATCAGGAGGAGTCTGGTAGCATCTTTTCTGACTAATATTTTTGTATTCAAAAGCATCAACTTTCACTTTGTCACTTTGACCTCACAATCTTCTTTCTGTCACATTCAAACTCTCCTTCTTCCTTTTGTAACTTCTGGGCTGTGGTTTTAACTGTTTCCTCTTTGGAAATATGTTTTTCATATTTTAGCTTAACATACTTAAACTCTGGTTCTGGATTAAATAGATTTTTGTTCTCTGAAATTCATTTGAAAGAAAGAGTTGTTATGTTCTCTTCCTTTTACAATTCTCCTTTGACGAAATCTTGCCAGACACAACTAGAAAGAAAACAGTCTTCCCTTTTGGCTCAGTATATAAAGAATAAAGGGGAGGGGAGCCAGGAATAATTAATCCACCTTTAATATATGTTGGCTCTTCACATACCTGTTTTCTGTGAGAAGGAATGCCTTTGCTTTTGTCCTCCATATTTCAGAATCTTTCCTTAAATATTTATCCCTGCAGACCTCGTCTAGATGCTTCCAGCCACTCCTCCAAACTTAAGATGGGATGTTTCAAGCCCTTCCTTTTGGAGGTGATTTAAGGCTATAGCAATAGTATTTAGACTTATATATCACTTCACAGTGCTTTACAACCCTCTCTAAGTGGTTTACAGAGTCAGCATATTGCCCCCAATAATCCGAGTCCTCATTTTACCCACTTCGGGAGGATGGAAGACAGAGTCAACCTTTAGTCGGTGAAAATTGAACTGCTGGCAGTTGGCAGTCAGCAGAAGTAGCCCGCAATACTGCATTCTAACCACTGCACCGCCACAGCTCTATATCTAGCCACTTATTCACATATTGCTTGGATTCTTACAGGACATCTGTTCTGAACATTTTGTATGGGTTCCTGGAGCCATTCCCCCAGATTGTATCTAGTTTCATTTAAGGATTCTTGTCTGGAGTCTTTTCAGAGATCTTTGTAACCATGTTTGCACCCCTGTTCTGAATGCAGTTAGAACCAAGCTCTCTGGAACTTGCTAAAGATGCTTAAAGCCATCTATCCTTGAGTTTGATCCTCCTAGCCTAGAGGAGCAGAATAGAGGGTGGGTGATGACATCACAGTGCTTTATCTAGAAGTGAGATTCCTGCTGCCCTCCCTCCTCCCTGCTAGGGCAAAGGACCAATAAGAGAAGACATTCCGAGCGTTGCATCACAATTGGATCTCTGCTGTTGTCTTAAGAACTGAAGAAGCTTCTTGGATGAGAAGCGAAACGTCTTCAAGGAAAAACAAAAGAAAGTCCAGTTGCCTTTTTAAAAAGTGCCTTGGGATCTCTGCTGTTGTTAAACTTAATTTTAAAGATCTAGGAGGCATGTGACCCATTGACTCATCCTTTCAGAACTGTTTCCTTACCTCAACACCTTCAACAAGGACCAAGCTCCTGATGTAATGCCTTGAAAAGCTGGGCCTACACTCGGAGATAAGCCGCTGTTGGGTGATATTATATAGCAGTGTCAAATGAAAGCACAGGAAATGATTCGTGACATAATCTACCTGTGGATTGATGCTAGGTATGCACCTTCATATACCCCAGAGCAGCTGTAAGCTACAAAAAAATAGACCCTGATTGTAAGCTACAAAAAAATAGACCCTGAGAGACTCAGATATCTCAAAGTCTGTTGAATAAAGAAGGGAAAAAAATAGGTGGTGAAAGATTCAGGGAAGGCCTCAAATCTTCCAATGAGAACTGAGCATTCAGAATGTTCTTAACTTGCTAAATGACATGGGGAGGAAGAGAGAGCAGGAGAGGGAGTAGGCGAGAAAAGAAAAGAAAAACAAATGGAAGAGATGCTTAACTGGCTTCCTATCTCTTTAAGGAGTAAGGCGGATAGAGAACAGAGGGAGGGAAGATGGTGAATTGATAGGCAGTTCAGGGATTTACTTGATCCCTCTGAGTCTAAGCTTATCAGAGATGTCACCGGGTGATTCATGTCATAAACTGGATATGTTCACACATGTTGGGGAAAAGATCAAGATGCTCCCTTCACACCACATGCTAAGTTTGGTTTGGGACTTTTGAGCAGCTGGGGTGACTGTTGTTGCACAACTGATGCTGACATCTGATTTTGGCGCTCGTTCAAGAATTGACTTTTTGCATTTGCGGTTTAGTAGCTCAGATCTGCCCTTCTACCTCCCTATCCATGCTCCTATAATTACAGTTGTGTCGTGTATGTACAGGTAGACCTCGACTTACAATTACAATTGAGACCAGGATTTTCATTGCTAAGCAAAGCAACTGTTAAGCAAGTTTTGCAACCGTACATAGCTCTATAATTCCTTTACCCACAATTGCCAGATTGGAAGGTGTGCTGTAGTATATGAGTGTTGTAGCTGGTTGTGGCTGGTTGTGGCAGGTGCAAGGATGGAAATGTTCCTCCTTTCACGGAGAGATCTTTTGGGGCAGCCAATTTTCCCATTCTGCAACTGACTTAACTGCCTTGCTTAACAATGGAATTGTGGTCCCAATTATAGCTGTAAGTTGAGGGCCTGTATCAGGGGTGAAATGCTACTGGTTTGGGCCAGTTCATCCGAACCTGTAGTAAAAATGCTACTGGTTTTTCCGAACTGGTAGTAAAAAAATGCTAAAAAGTTTTTAAAAAGTTCTGACCATTAGCTGTGTGACAATCAGCTGTGATGGCCAGAACTTTTTAAAAACCTTTTAAAGCATTTTCTAACCAGTACCGGTAGTTAAAAAATGCTTTAAAAAGTAAAAAAAAAAAAAAAGTTGGCCATGCCCACCCAAACCATGCCCATCAAGCCACGGCCACAGAACTGGTAGGGAAATTTTTTGAATTTCACCACTGATCTGTATATAGTACTTTTAAGGGCAATCTGGCCATTTAACACCTAAAAACACAAAATTTAAAAGTGTTAAGCAATAAGATACTTTTCAGATTGGTTGGAATCTTGGACAGGAGCTTAAGGGATTCATAATTTATTTGAAAACTCAACCTTTGTTGCAAACCTTTCCCTATATGAAATCTTTTCCCCCCCCTTATTATGTTACTGGTTTAAAACATGATTGATTTATATCTCACTTTTCATTCAGGAGCTCTTAACAATGTGCCCCCCACCCCCCAAATAGTAATTTTCTATTGTTAATTGCTCAGAATCACTTACCGTATATACTCGAGTATAGGCCGACCCGAATATAAGCCGAGGCACCTAATTTTACCACAAAAAACTGGAAAAGTTATTGACTCGAGTATAAGCCTAGGGTGGGAAATGCAGCAGCTACCGGTAAATTTCAAAAATAAAAATAGATACCAATAATGTTTTTGAATATTTATTTCAAAGAAAAACAGTAAACTAGCGGTGTATTCAATGAAATACTTCACTCACCTCATGATGCTGATGTCCCGCTGTGATGATGATGTCCCGTGCAGCCGCGGGAGCGATGTCCCGCCTCCTATGACACACGGCACAGTGATTCCTATCATTGGATCACTGTACCAGAGGAGGTGGGACATCGCTATGTGGCTGCTTGCCATAACAAGGAGGAGGTGGGACATCGTTGCAGAGCGGCAGGAGGGGGAGGAAGGGGAATCGTAAGACAGCCCTGCATTACATTAGAACGTGAGGAGGGGGGATGGTGCGGTGCGCGCTGCGCAGCAAACTGACACAGAGGGAGGGGAAACTCACAGGGGCACTGGGCCATTCACGAGTGTCACCCAGCGGCATGGCCCCGCCCCTTTTTCTCCTCCATTTCGGGCAAATTTTTCACTGACTCGAGTATAAGCCGAGGCGGCTTTTTTAGCCCAAAAAGTGGGCTGAAAAACTAGGCTTATACTCGAGTATATACAGTAAATGAGATGTGCGGTGTAGAAATGTGAATACATCAATAAAATAAACAATAATTTGGGTCGCTACATTCTAACTGCCAGATCATGCCGGCTCTCATTTAAGATTAATTGTAGCAAGCATTTGCTGTGCACAAGGTTTATATTTGGTTCTATTTTCAAATTTGCTTTCTAGGAAAAGGCTGCCCTGATCATGGAACAGATCCAAAAACTGGAGAAGATGAAGATTGATGAGATGGAGTATATTCTCCAGAATAGGTTCCTGAATGTTGATCAAGCAGTTCATCTTTTTTCAGATTGTGTTGAAGAAGAAATACAAATATATGCATGACAAAATATCTGCAGTTGTTTCTTTTTATTAATCCAAGTGTTATTTTCCAAAACAGCTTTATTCACTGTACAATGCTACTGGCCAAATAGTATTTATTATGTAAACTAGCTGGAAGATAAAATATTGGCATTAGCTTTAATAGAATATAATTGCTAATTTTAAATGTGACATCAAGCCATCCAAAGTTTAAAACATCTGCAAAATTACTGGATTTTGTTTTTGCATATATTTTCAGCCTGCATTTGTTTGTTATTTCATACACTTAATGGCCAAATGTCGTACACATTTAATAAACAGCATTAATAACAATAATTTATATGTGCCAACTCCCAGCAATTTCAACATTTAAAAATCTAGTTGGACAAGAAGCAAAATAAATAAAGCAAATAAGTGAAATAACTAATTATGGAATTAATATGTAATTAACCAAATTAACCTCAAGACATTGTAAAGACCAAAGTGGCTTGGTCAAGAAAACCAAGGACTGTAAATTATAGCACATTTCCCATTTTCTTGTAAATGGCTTCTAAGATGAAAATTTAAATATTTTAGAAAACAACTTTAAGAATTCAAGAATGTACTTCTTTCTATACAGTTCTATTGCAGAAGTATGAAAAACATTATGGATATTGTTAACACTAATGACTTTAATCTAAAAATAACAATAGATGTATAGTGAGGTCTGCATATGATTTGAACTGGTATACAGACTTAGTCTTTGACAAAGGACTAAAAGAATAAAAATTATGTCCTGAAAAGCTCGTATTAAAAACTTAATACATCAGGATAGTTTGAATAGGATGTTAATGTTATTTCCAATGTCATTATGCACTGGATTTCACAACCCAACAGAAATTAGATGCATTGGCTCCTATTAGAAAATAGGCTTCACTGAATAGCATTGTTCCACTCCTTTTATACATTATTTTTATTGCAACATCATCTAAAGTTGGTGGTAATCAAATATTAATTCAAAGCACTTCTGCAAAATGTGCTAATAATCAGCAGAAAACAAAGAAATAGTTAGATAATGGGAAAGAGCTTAGATTGCCATATAAACTTTATGATAATGGATGTTTGTAAGTTGCCTTCATTGGTAATAGGATCTTGTTGCGTTCAGATTACATTCCTTTGGTTTCTCATCAGTAAATGGAAGGAAAGAAAACCTCAATAGTTATTCCATAAATAGGACATTTTGCTGCTGAATGCCAAAATTGGTTTTAAAAAAACAACCAAAATTACTATTTTTCAGGCAATAAAGGACTGTTGGGAGCCAGTATGAAGTAGGATGCAGTCAGGTCATAGGAACATTTAAATCCTGCTGATTTATCTAATGAATTAAATCGAGCTTTTAATTTTAAAAAAGTGTATTTTCTGAGTTGAAAGCCTAAATTTGGGCAGGAACTCATTTGGTTGGCAATCTTATGCCTATGGTAGTTAGGTACTGTAGCACTTTAATATGTAATAAAATTGCACTATTAATATCCAGAAGGCTGTTAATCCTTTAGCTGTAATTCTTGGCAATATAACTGAAAATCAGGTATAAATTAGCTGCATGTCTCAATCTGGCATGCATAAAAATGTAATGAATTCAAGAAGAAAGGAATTAACAAAAAATTATATCCATGTAAAAATATTATGTAATATGAATTTATGAAAAATAATATAATTGGTATCACAACAGCAAATATATCAAGAACGAAATGCCATCTTCCTAAATTGGGAGATGCAACCTAGAGCTGAATGTCACAAAAGTTAAAATTGAATATTCTACCATGGCACTTTGGACTTTAAGCTTGAATCCTTCTATTATATTAAGCCATAATTTAAACTATGGTTAATTTGGAGCTTAATATTTGTATGAATCAGCTGTGAATTATTTAATAAACGATGTTTAAATATTCTGTGTATAGATTGATCTTTGAACAGTCTATCTCGCCTAACTTTAAGGATACTTTAAGACTTGAATCACAAGAAGAAAAAAGTATATTGTGTAACTTTTTGCTTAAACTCTTAACAAGGAATATTACACAAGTCAGGACAACTGTATTTATTGAATAACTGGAACAGCAAGAAAACCAATCTGCTACTTTTGGGAACATGTTTCTCCATAACTCTTCCCAATTTAAAAAAAGAATCATTGGGTTATGTAATACAGCATGCTTTTCATTTCAGCTGTAGATCAACTTACAAAGTAGACTTTATATAAACCTTTTTTTTCCATTTTGGAAGATAGCCTTTTTATACAAAGCAGAAGAAATCTTGGCAGTATTTCAATTAATGTGCATTGATAATAAAAAAAATAAAACTAACCCCCCCCCTTCTTTATGTCTGAATAAATAAGATTGTGAACATGAAAAGGTTCATTATTTTTCAGGTGTCACAGAGTTAACTCTTTAAAAGCTAATAGCCATAATTTTAATAAGCCCAGCTTCCAAATATAATCCATTTTTGTATAAATATAAAACATATCCATACATAAATGTGCCATGCATCTGGTAAAAAAAATAGTGGTTAGCTAAAGTTAACCAACAGGTCTTCTTAATAGTTGAAGAAATATGACCAATTGCTTCTTCCAACAATATTGTTGATAAACCACTTTCAGAAAAAATATTTAAGCATTCTTAACTTTAAAAAGGCCAATAAGATGTTCATGCCTTCCTATTATTCTACAATGCTGCTTAAAAATTAAAAAATGACCACAGTTTTTAATAAAACATATGCATTTAAAAATATATTACTTTTATGGTGAAACCTTACTAATATTACACACACACACATATTCCTATGAATTACTTAAAAATTGGTATTGCAAAATTAAAATTTAACAAGAAGTCAATTCAAGTTCTTTAATTTGCATATCAAGAGTACTCAAGTACAATTTGACATTTTAAAAAATAGTAATTTGGTATTAAGTACAAAATAAATATGGCATCTACAGACTCCAACTGGTTGCAGTCTGTGAAATAAATTGGTCCATTTTTGGCAGTCATGCCAATTACTTATCAATGAACCAAGGGGAAAAATTATGAAACAAATTATGCCTGAACAAGAAGTCCTGCTCACAATTATGATGCTTTAAATCTCATTTAGATTTAAACAGACTGATAAACAGAGATTTATATGCTTTAAAAATCAAAACTGGCTTATTCATATAGGAATCAGGATAGACAGCAAAATTCATTTGCTGATTTCTCCTTTTACACATCAATCTTTTATCAGTACAAATAAGAGAATTTTGCCATTAAACAAGAATAAGAATTGCGTACACCAAAATGATCTACTGTTCCCTTAAAAAAAACACATCACATGATAACAATGAGTTGTTTTGTCCACAGTATTGTCTGTACTGGCAAGGATGGAAAATTATTTCTTTAAAAAAGAAAAACCAATTGTTTCAAAAAATAAAATTGAGTACAAGGCCTGTTACGCGCCTTTCACAATTTGAAATAATTCCCTGAAGCTACTCATTTTAGTTAACATTCAGATTGCAAGACATAATTCTCTTTGGGTTAGAGATCAACATGGCCACATTATAAGCAAAGGGATTTCAAACAGCGTGCATTAGATACGAATAGGAGGGCCTGGTCTTGGCTAGCTTCCATGGGCGCCTTCAGTCCCTCGGTTGTCCTGTATTACGGTTGTCGTAGCTGTAAAATGGTAATACAACCGCTCATCCCGAAATTCAAAGTCATTGGTAATATGTTGGATGATGCCGCCTTTCACCAGCCTCTCTCCATACACTACAGCTTCCCCACGGTCCGAGGCAAGGCCAACTTCCAAAAGCCAGTTCACCAGATCACAGCCGAAGAAGAGTCCAGTCACAGTCTTTCTGCCACACCTGTATGTCAAAGGAAGGATTCACCCACATGTTCTGTAAATCTCGTACCACCACTGCTTGTTGGATGAAGACGAGGGGAAAACAAGGAAAGACAGCATGATAGTTAGAAGGACGTTAAAAGAAGGCCTAGTAGCCAAGTATACAATTAAAGCTGTTTTTCCTTTTGGGCAGGCCTCAATCGCCTTTTTGATTAGCCAAAATGCATGCAAGCATCTAATGAAAGCACTACATACTATATGATTAGTATAAAATTATTGTGTGTTACTTTACTATTGATACTCTTAGAATCTGAAATTAATCTTTAGCCACAGAAATTACCATTGGAATGATATACAGGTAGTTCTTGGCTTACAACCATTTGCTCGAAGTTAACAATGGCAAAAAAATGACATACAATTGATCCTTGCATTTACAACCATCCCAGCATCCTGTCCTGTGATCAAAATTTAGGTGCTGGGTGTATGATTTACAATGATTGTCACATGATCGCCATTTGAGGCTTTCCCAGCCATCTTCTGATAAGCAATTTCAACAAGGGAAGCCAGATTTGCTTAATGACTACATGATTCACTTAATTATAGTGATTCACTTCCCAACCATGGCAAAAAAGGTTCTAAAATTGGGCACAACTCCCTTAACAACCGCTTTGCTTAACAATGGAAATTCTGTTCCCAGTTGTGGTCATAAATCAAGGTCCGCCTGTACAGTAGTAGAAGAGTTAATGGTAATATTTTAGATGATAACCATATCAAATTCTATTTCAGAAGGAAAAGTCCTAAGCGAGCATGTGATTCAAGGCCTCTTACATGCTTCAAAAATTATTTTGAAAACATATTTTCGGAAGGCATGAGAGCCCAGGAGCCTTTAATAATAATAATTATTTTCAAATTTCAAGCACTTCTTCAGAGCAAATTTTGGCTGAATCATTTCTGAAGCACCTAGCAGATTTAGTAAATGCTGCTTAGCATAGCATTTGATTAAATGCTTTTTTCCCCCTTTTTTTCTTTTACATGCTCAATATTTTTCTTTTACGGATAATGTGGACTTCCATTTGCAATCTAAAAAGGAACAAATTCATGGAGAACTAAATAAATTTGTCTCCTCTGTCAGTTAAATTTGGGTCTCTTAATCCTAAAATGCTTATTAATCAAACTAATACACAGAGGTCTTGAGAAACAATACAATTGATTAAGATTCATTTCAAACTCCAAGAAGTGGTGTTTTTTTTCTCAATTCAGAGCTGAAAAGTGCATGCAACCTGGTGGAACCACCTCTAAGCCAATACTCTAAGCTAATGCTGAATATCTCAGGCAGCATTATGCTTTACTGTGCATGACTGGGGTTAAGAGAAGTGTCGTCTGTGAATCCACATACATACTTAATGTCAGGAAGCCCTTGGGGTGGTCACAACAAGCCTTGAAATGGATGCAGTACTTCAATGTTTCAGCCAATAGAAGAAAAATGCATGAAGCACTCCTCCAAGTGGTTTTCTAGAACTTCCAGGTTTAGGTCTAATTAAATATTATTTGTACAGAAAGGAACTATTCCGCGATCTAAAGTTAGGCCAAGCCAACATACAGACTATGTAAGATAAGCTTTTAATTAATAAGCTAATGTTAATTTTAATTAATAGAACATGGGAACATAGAACAAAATCAGTGCTGGGCCAACAACATACATTAGGTTTCTAATGCCAGGCATTCATCTGAGAAGAAAAGAGAGAGATATAGAGATGAAAAGGAGAACAAGAAGGGGTATATCACTTATTGCAATCTGTGTAGATCAAACAGCGATAGTGATTTAAAAACAGCAACAGCGCTGATCCGTTTTTCTTTGTGCAATATTAACGTTTTAATATTAAAAAAAGAATTGTAATATTTCTTATTTCTTGGCTTTTCAAGAAATATAAAGAAAGAAAATTTAAAAATTGTTGTAAAATGCAGAACAAATATTTAAGAATTATTTATTTCTCACTTCCACAGAATTTTATATCCAAAAATGGAAGTTTGAGGAGATGTGTAATCCTAAATTTGAGACATATTGAAACAGCAGTTGAATCACAATGTAGGATTTCAATATGGAAGATTCTAAGATTAACAAGGCCACCAAATCTTCCAAAAGATCACTAAAAATGGGAAAGCACATCGTTAATAAGTTACACTTACATTTTATCAATGGCTTCACACAATTCATGCAAGAAGCCATGTAATAATAGAGAAGCTAACTTCTTTTGTTCATTACAGGTAGTCCTCAACATACAACCATAATGGAGCCTATTATGGTCGTAAATCGGTTTGGTCATGTGACTGCCACATTTTACCTTTTTTGTGGCTGTTTCATGCCGGTTGTAAAATGAAAAGTATTAAGCAAATCTACTGCTTGCTATGGTGCCGTTTTGCTGAAAAGTGAAAGTAATCTCTGTTTCTTTGCAAAAACTTTGTAAAACAGAGTTACGTGACCCATGGGATGCTGTAAACAACACTGCTGTGTTACGGACCGGCCTGAAGTGTAGTCACATGACTGGGGCAGTAATTCGGTCATAACTCCCTTTTTCCAGGTAGGTCATAACCTTGAATGGCCATTAAATGACTAGCCATAAGTTGAGGACTACCTGTAACAGCTTCAATTGTTGCCATTTAAATTTCATGGTTCAAAATGCTTACGCTGCTTTTGATTTCTATTATTTAAAACTATGTGCTAGAATCTCTCTGTGATAAACATATTGCTTGATATATAATTTTTAAAAAAAATAGTTAACCACCAAAGCACGAGTGTCAAATTCCATCATGTGATGTTTTGTGACATAAAGCAATGGTTTTTCCCTTTGCAGAACCGGGGTAGGCATGGTCTGCGCTTGACAAATCTGGCCCATGGGACACCCCTACACCAAAAGTTAATAGCAATAGCACTTAGACTTATATACCGCTTCACAGTGCTTTTAGGGCCCGCTTTAAGCGGTTTACAGAGTCAGCCTATTGCCCCCAACAATCTGGGTCCTCATTTTACCCACTTCGGAAAGATGGAAGGCTGAGTCAACCTTGAGCCAGTGAGAATTCAAACTGAATATCAATTCAGAAATAATTATTTACAAATCAACAATTAACCAAGTATCTGCTTAGTGGTATTTGGAAACCTGTGTAGTGCATAAGTAAAAAGAAGGGTATCAACAGATGCAGAGGATGCTCCCATCTAGAATATTAGAACAATTTAAATCAAATTTAACACTTATGAACAACTCCACCTTCTATCCTGGACAATGCTTCTCACACACACGTCTCTGTGGTAACTAACAAACTGTTGGCATGTCATCCGAATCTCCTCCGGGACAGATGATTCCCTCGGTTCCACAGTTCTAGCACCCCAAAGGAATTCAAGCCTACATGAGGAAAAAAGTCCATTTGAAATACTGCCTGGAAAAAGCATAATACAATGATTTGATTTGAAATATTTTGCCTGTGAGATTTTATTGTTACTGTGTACATTCAAACATGCAATGACCAGGTTTTTGAAACAACAAGTTAGAAGAATTAAAATAGTTGAAATTTTTTAAAGCTGGCAATTAAACTGAAAAGGAGATGGATGGGAGTGAACTCTTTTTCCTGCTTTCTTATGCACTTTAACCTAATTCACACACATATATGGATCCTAAGTTTCTTCTCTATTTGAGAAAAGAACATCTGTCAACTCAAACTTCCATTTTTTAAGGTAAAGGTTCCCCTTGCACGTATGTGCTAGTCGTTCCTGACTCTAGGGGACAGTGCTCATCTCCCTTTCAAAGCCAAGGAGCCAGACGTCTCCGTGGTCATGTGGCTGGTATGACTAAACACTGAAGGCGCATGGAACTCTGTTACCTTCCCACCAAAGGTGGTTCCTATTTTTCTATTTGCATTTTTATGTGCTTTCGAACTGCTAGGTTGGCAAAAGCTGGGACAAGTAACAGCTCACTCCGTTATGTGGCGCTAGGGTTTCAAACCACTGAACTTCCAACCTTTCTGATCAACAAGTTCAGTGTCTTAGCCACTGAGCCACCGCATCCTGTACCATTTTTTACTTCTGTCCAATAGGCAACATGTTGCCAAGGGTTCTCTAACCCTCAGAAGCAGGGGGTGCAAAAGAGATGAGGAGAAAAAAACTGTATGAGGAGAGAATAAAATCACATTCTATAAATGAAAGAACTATTTCATTCATGGAAAAAAATAATTACATTACAAGGCTATATAATCATGTTAACATAAGACATTTTATACCACCTTAAAAAGTATTTTATGGATAATAACTCATACACAAGCCTATATGTCACATCGATACCGTGGAATTCAATTAAAGCAGCAATATTTAATGGTTTCCCCAATCCAGAATGTGTTAATATGTGTTAATATAAAGTGAAGCTCACTTTATATAGCTCAGTAAAGTATTGCTTCATGCATGTATTAAAAGGAACAGAATTTTAAAATAAACCAGATTACTGTTTTGTAAAAAGGAACAGCATCACAGTTAAAAGTTCTCAAGAAAGCTGAAATTAAATGGATGTATAAAATGCTAAAATTACCTCCTTTTGAATGGAAGAATAATTAGATGTTTGTCTAACCCAAACATTCCAAAAGAAATGAATCCCTGAAAAAGAAAAAAAATGCTATGATAAAAACATTCTGGATGAACAATTGTATACAAATTCCTGAAATTAAGTTTTTAATTCTAATGAAAAAACAGATGTTATAATGCTTACATTTATTTAAATAAAAGTACGGCATGGACAAAATATTTAGGCATCAATACCAACAATGTGATTTTTAAAGTCAGTCAGTCAGTCATATCCTTTCCTTTCAATATCTCTTCCCTCATATCACAATTTCCTAAACTGTATGTTTATCTTGGCTAGGATTATTAGTTTCTTAATTTTCCATGCTTCCTCTTATAATGAGACATACATGACTTAAAAAAAAGTCCTTGCTTAAAAGACTGCAATTGGGACTGGCAACATCGTTAAGTGATACAGTCATTAAGAGAGACACCATGCAATCCTAATGGACTTACAACCCCACTTCATTAAGCAAATCACCCCGTAGTCCTTAAGTGAGACATTATATGACCATGACTTGTGATTTGGCTGCTGGCTTTTTCAACTGACTCTAGTTTTTGGAAGCTCGCTTGAAAGCGCAATATTGATGATCGTGTGACTGTGGGACACTGTAACAGTTTTAAGTGTGAGATCTGGTCATAAAGGGCTTTTTTCAGCAACTTTGGATGGATGCTAAACAGGGCAGTTGTTAAGGGAGGAATACCTGTATTACTGGAAGGAGAATTTAAGAATGTAAGAAAACTAAGGTCTATGAATCAACTGTAATGAACAGCGTATTTTGAAAAGCAAAACGATAAGCAATTTGGCAAGCATGTTAACATTAAAGAAATAAAAAATAACCTCTCAAGACAAGAAGGTAACACAATTAAAATAAAGTTGAAGCTCTCAGAAAGAATTTTACTTCCATAGGAAAGACTAAAGGTAAGATTATTTAAGGAAGAAGCCTGTGGGCTCTTCTCATGCTGCCATATTGTCAGAAAGCAGATTTGCCTTCGTGGTTGGGGTTTTTTCTTATTGAATTACCTTTTCAGTGCAATTCTAACTGTATGTGAGAATGATCTTGCGGGATAAGGGAAAGAGAGGGGGCAGGGAAACAATAAAACGAAAGGGAGAAGTCTCCAGTGGCTTAACAGTCAGAAGATAAAGGCCTTCCCTATTTGATTGGGTGGTTAAAAGTAGTGGCAGAAGATCTGTTCCATTAGATTTGAAAGATTCTTGTTAATGTAGCTGTATAATAATGTAGAAGTAACTCATCTAGTTATGTTTCCTGTCTGGTTTACCTGGGAAGGCTGAAAGCAATTTAATTAGCACAAGACTATTATTTCAGCGCCTGGTTAAACTTCACTCAGGCCTTTTAGTGAGATGTCACCAGTGGCGAAATTCTACCTGGTTCGCCCGAACCAGTAGCAGCGGTGATGGGAAGCTCCGCCCACCCATCCGGACATCATGATGTCCTCTTTTTGGTGTTCTACACATGTGCGGAAGGTCCTGTGCTCACATTTGCGATCCAGTAGCAAAGGTAAGTTGATTTCACCCCCGGGTGTCACTAAATATATTAGGGAGAACACCAACTGAAGTCCTTCATTTTTACCATCTGGATCAGTTAAATCTGCATCCTCTTGGAAATCATTCTCTCTGAATGGCCTCTATTAATGAAACATCCCTAACTACTGACATGGATTATTTCCCTCTTTAAACAGGTGGAACAGCAAAAATTGTCAGTGTACAATGAGCAGTTTTAATTTTATCAAATTTAGGGTAAGAAAACGGGCCAAAAATAAGTCAGGCACCTTCTCTCTCTTCCTTACAAATATATGCCAGTCTTCATGTACACATTTACATATGGGTTCAATGAGACGTGCTATAAAATACATATGGACAATTTCACATGATTAGTTTGAGACAGAGGATAAATATTTACCTGACCAAAATTAAATACAGCACAGAAGAACTGCAGTTCCACATAGAGTCTCCCAGGCTCTTGGTTAAATAACCACCACAAGCAACTTGATAGGTTCTGTGAAGGAAAAATAAAATGAACAAATGTTAACATGAGTATCTCATTGCTACAATTTTCACTGGCATTTCCCTTGGATTATAGAGACAATTTTTTTCCACCTCTACAACTGTTCAAGTTTAGTGAGCTGCCCCTCTAAGACTAAAGGTAAAGGTTTCTCTCGCACATATGTGCTAGTCATTCCCGACTCTAGGGGCAGTGCTCATCTCCGTTTCAAAGCCGAAGAGCCAGCCTGTCCAAAGACATCTCCATGGTCATGTGGCCGGCATGACTAAACGTCAAAGGCACAGGGAACGCTGTTACCTTCCCACCAAAGGTGGTCCTTATTACTCTACTTGCATTTTTACATGCTTTCGTACTGCTAGGTTGGCAGAAGTTGTGTCAAGTAACGGGAGCTCACTCCATTACACCTCAAACCGCCAATCTATCTGATCGACAAACTCAGTGTCTTAGCCACTGAATCCCTCTAAGACTACTATTACTAAAATCAAGAGTTTACTGCAGATCTGAACAATCTTACTGGAGAGGGGTATCAAGACCATGATAATAATTCAGTGATAATGCCATAAGGTGACAGTAGAACACTTGGTCTTTCTTCCTCTCTTCCATTTCTGGTATTTTCTGTGAATGTTTTAAAACATAGTTCTTATACATTTTCTCTCTTTCTAAGAAAAGCAGAAAAGCACACCGCTGCAGTAAACAATCTGACACACACAAAATGACACACACTTTGAGAATTACCCACCCCTGGTTTAGAGAGATAGCGTGAAATGGCTTTGCCAACATAACTGTAGTGATAGATGGAAGTGCAATGATTACAGTTGGAATTGTCTACTGAATCTCTGATTCTTAAGTCAAAGGAAGTTTAGACAATTGGCCTAGTATCTAATTCAGCATTGGCCAGATGAAGGGTGAAGAACCTTTCGCCTTTTGATTTTGCCAAAATGTGATGCCCAACATCTCTCACCACTGGCCTGTTGGCTGCGACCATCAGAAGTGAAGCTCAATATTTGGAAAGCTACTTATGATCCATGGCAAATCTAGACAGCATACTAAAAAGCAGAGACATCACCCTGCCAACAAAAGTGCATATAGTCAAGGCCATGGTTTTCCCAGTTGCAACGTATGGCTGTGAAAGTTGGACCATAAGAAAGGCTGAGGGCCAAAGAATTGAGGCCTTTGAACTATGGTGCTGGAGAAAACTCCTGCGAGTCCCTTGGACTGCAAGGTGATCAAACCAATCAGTCCTAGAGGAGATCAGCACTGACTGTTCTTTAGAAGGCCAGATGCTGAAGATGAAACTCAAATACCGTGGCCATCTAATGAGAAGGAAGGACTAACTGGAGAAGAGCCTAATGCTGGGAAAGATTGAGGGCAAAAGAAGGAAACAACAGATAATAGGGTGGCTAGATGGAGTC